TGTTACTGCCGCTGCTGCTGCAGCTCGAGCTCGAGCGAATATCTATATAGCCTTATAGCCGTGTATAAAGCATTATATACGCACACACACACACATACACATGCGATCGAGCGCCTCTATATATATATAATATAATGCGCCTTAGATCTAAGTGCACACAATGTACATTATATATATTATATATACTCGTCCTGTGCGAGCGAGATGCATGTATATAAAAAGTCAATTTCCGCAGTTGAATTCCCCGCGCACGAGGAAAAACGCGTCGTCCTCTCTCGCGCGAGTACATTATATATTATATACAAGCGTTACGGTCCAATGTCGCGCAAGGCTGCATATAATATAAACCCACGCAGCGCGCGATACAAATGGCTAAGCTCGTCTCCGTGCATAAAATAACGCGATTGCGCCCGTATATAATACGTAGCCGCGCACGACGAACTTTACGCGCGCATACCGATTTCATCCGGACGTACCGATGCGCGCTGCCGATAATACGGCACGTACCCACGTCGTTTGTTATATATATTTTTTTTATTTATAAATATATCGAGTTTTCGGTGTAACAGTGCCGGGGGTTTATTATTAAGGACTTTGGCGGACGATCCGGTACAGGAGAGTTTCAGGAAGCCTCGTTGCGCAACTTTTACAAGATATACCCCTTCTCGGGCGCGCACAATCGATACATACAAACTATCGTTGTTTTTGTGTCTGTATACCTATACATCATGCAAAACTGACCAATGACGACGACGACGAGCGACGAACGAACGCGCGAACCGGCCCCGCCGCTGCTATATTAAGCTGCCAAGCGAAAGAGAGACTTCATAACTAAAGTAGCGCATTTCCACTCGATCGTGCCAGGCGCATTAAGTGCACCTTTTCTCGAATCTGCGCGAGCCGCATGTTGTTGTATTATATATACCTATATCTATATATAGCTCTATATATATGTTGCACACCAGTCCGCAATTCACTCGGTCACATGGTCACTGGTAACAGCTGCTGCGCTACGGCGTCCATACGACAAACTCGTTCGCGCGAGATTCCTGATCTACTATATAGTACACGGTTGACATATGGACGTGCGTTAACTCTCTCTCTCTCCTGTGGCTTGCATATACGTGCAACTTATTCATAAGCATCTTCCCTGACAGCGTTGAGCAATTATGCTTGATGTATTCGATGATTTTTTTTCCTCTTGTCGGTTACATTTTCTTTTACAGTTGTAAATATAATCCCCTAGTTACGTCCAGAGGCGAACTTATCAATGAAATCGGTTCGAGTCATAAGATGAAATAAGAAATGTAAGTGCTTGAGAGTTATCGCGAGGAGTGGTAGGAGCGAAAATATCATCACTTTCGTATGAACTGTAAAGCTATCTATCGAAACTAGGGCTGAAAGGGAGAGATTTTAAAAATGAAAACCAGCAAAGTAACTGCTTTGCTCTTTTCTCGTCGAGAGAGCCAGTGCGAGAGTGTTACTGCTGATGTAACATCTGTCATCTTTCTCATTCTCGCACCTCCTTGTTTCAACTCATTTTTTTTATCTGTGACAAATTTTTACGGCACCTTGGTTTACTCAACTTATTGAAACTAGTAGGTCCATCCGTATGATACTGACATTTAATTTTTAAATAGGAAAAGGAGCAAACTTTTTGAGCCCCGATAGAAAGTATCAACATTAATAATGGTCTGATGACCTAAAATTGATTATTGGAGATGTAGACAAATCTTGAACCACATTAAATGCCTCAATATCACTTTGAGTATCAGCCGCTAGATGGCGTGTACCAATTTTTCTTTAAATCCACTAGTGGCAGAGTAAAAATAATTGTATATAAATCGAAGTGGTAGATTGATCAGGAATCTTTTGCAATAATAGACACAATATCATCCTTGTGCTTTCCCTCGCAGAATTCACACAGACGAGCGCTTTGTTGCCGCTTATAGGTTCTAAAAATTCAGCATCTCGCATTCAATATCTCATGCGTACTATACACACACGTAAGCTCGCGATCAATCACCGCGTTGGTGATATATGCATACGTTAATCCTGACGTTCCAATCTTGGCACATAATCCTTAGCGCGCGCGCCTCAATGAGATACACACACACACACATGTCTTATGTATACATACTCGAGCTGTGCGCGAAAAAAAATACAACCACGGGGATAAAAAAAAAGAATAACAACAGCACTCGTGGCAGTGGTGTATGTATACGCGCGTGTGTACCTAAACAAGGCGAGCACAATTGATTCTCGTGCGCTTTGCCTGTATAGGTACCGATCTCATATAGTCCGCGGAGCACTTGTCCGTTTCAAGAGTCTGCGCGAGAGATCTTATCTGCATAGATTATATATATACTGTCTCAACGAGCCGCACACAGACACAGACACACAACTTTCAGAGCTCGCGCTCGCGTGGAAATCCCGGGCGTATACGGACTCGCAGCCGCCCGCGATACCGATCGTGTGTTTATAATTAACCGCTCCCGCCTTATCGGCGACTCTCTCGGCATTATGTGTGTTATACCATACAACAACGCTCTATGCGCCGACGCCATGCGGTATAAAACGTTGTCGATATACTTATTATACAGCGTGTATTTTTCACGCCGACGGACGTGTGCGCGGCTTTAATGCGCGCGCCGTAAATCGCTTGTCCAGCTCCCTGCCCGCGCCGATATACGTACAGCGCACCACCTCTCGAGTGGCCTCGCGCGCCCTCGGACAATTTCCATGAACTTATTGAACGCTGCTGAGACGGTTCAACGCAGACGTCGAGAACGAAAAAATGAAAAAAAAAAAAAAAGGAAAAAAAGAGGGAAAAGCTCGGCGAGAGCGCGCGAGACGTTGAATTATGCAAGGCGCGCGCAATAAAACGCGCGCAAAGCTGCGCTCGCACAATGAACCATGAACCGTATACATGAAGTATGAGAGAGAAAGAGAGAGAGAGAGCTGCTAATCAGTAGTACGGAATCGCCAAGCACGCACACACAGACACGCGTAAGCTCATTTATCTCGCCGCGCCAATATTACTCGATCAAGTTTAACTACTTTTTATTTCGTCCCTCGCGCGGTCTATTCTCCCAAGTGTTGACCGTTAAGGTAAAAACACCGATTATGAAACGGTTTCGAGGCAGCTTCTTTTCAAACACGTGTATCTACTTGAAAAATTGATAAAACTTTAAAACAAACTTATCATTAGATGCGCTGTACCTTTAATATCGAATCCCTGTGTTTAAAGTTGTCCTTAATTTTCTTATTTATTTATATAAGTAATATTAACAAAGTATCTTTGGTACCTAATGATGGAATAGATGCAAACTTTGCACGTTCCAATATAGGAACAACGAAATCAACGATTGTTCCAATATTGGAATCAACAAATCAATGGGCGATCTTAACTTGTATTGTTTCACTGAAGGAACACTGGTTTTTTTGGGTATTCCTATCAATGGAACGCGCTTTGCAGACACACTTGATTAATTTATTCCATGATAAAATTATTATTACACAGTTAGCTTCGAAATCATTTTTTATTGATTATATTACTAATGCAAATTGATACTTTTCAATTGCTTTCAAGCTAAAATTTTAACAAAAACTTTATTTATACGGATTTAAATGCTGGTGTTCCACAAATTGGTACACCGTTCCATAATCGGTGTTTTTACCTTAACTACAGTTAAACATGTGCATATAATACTCACACATGCGCAGATGCGTCAAGGCCACAGACATGAGCTCTTTTACACACGATATATCCTATAGAACCGCGAGTACCCGACACACAGACGCAGAAGTGTTTTACAAACTCACACGGACACACGTGTTTAAATACTCGACTTGAATAGGTGCGTACAGAAGCGGCGTTTATACAGTAAGAAAAAAATCATTGACTCAATGAAATATTTATTTAGGATACAATATATGAAATAATTTCATTGATATAATCTTTTTTTATTTTACCAAAGTTTCATCGCTTCAATCAATCATTTGATTGAATTAAGAGTAAATAAAATATTAAATTAGATTTCATTGAATCAATGATTTTTTTTCTCAGTGTATATATTATTACGTTTTCCCGAGTGAAAATTATTTATTAAATTATTAGCTTTAAATATAGAACTGTCGAGATACGTTTAACACGCGTGTGTGTTGTGCGTGTTCCTATTCATACGTTGTTTTTCCTCGACTTATAAATCACCTGGTTGAGGGATTTTTTTTTTCAATCGCGCGCGATCTTTAAAAATCATCGGAGTTGAGAATTGCAACCCTTTGAATACGTGGATCATGATTGTTAATTATCTCAACGCTTTTGTTATTAGATTAATCTCTATAAGCTTCTTTCACGTTGAAAATCTTGAAAAAAAAGGAAAAGTTCTTGAAATCTTGAAAAAAAAGTTCTCGTCGTTAATTGTGCACGTGATTGTCATCTATTATCTATCTTATACATACATTATCTTACAACTGTATCTTAAAGTTACATCTTACAGAATTTTTTTTTTTTTGAGAAACACATGTTTATTCATTCAAATATTATTTGTTGTACATATAAATGTGTGGCTATAAACATAATACAAAGATGCCAATAATTAAGTCTAATTTTAAACAGAATGATCCAAGTAAGATTCTCGCTGCTATTCATAGTTAGGATTGAGTGTTTACAATTTGTTTATATTTTCTTATTGATTATATCTTATGCAACTATAGAAAAGCTTGAAAAACTACAGTTTTTTCATTTTATTTTTATCTTACAACCTAGAGAAATATTTACAAATTTAACACTAGTAGCTAAAACCTTTGAGTAAGTAATAAAAACTGTGGTTTAGACTGTGGTTAATAATTAGACCCCTCTCATCTCATCGAGTACGTTTTTTTCGTCTGTTATCTATCTTATACATACATTATCTTATAGATGTATCGCATAGATACATCGATGGAATTTCCATAAAGCACAATTGTATTAACATTATTCACTTTTCTTGTTGCAGTTTTTTGAATAAAAAAGCAAACGCAGTACATCATGGAGATGCACCACGACAATCTTTATCAGCTGGCTAGCCAGAATCCGGTTACCACGATCGAGGCCGGCAGCAACGAGTATTACAACATCCTGATCGACACGGCGTCGGTTCAAAACGACGACGTGAGCTACCTGCAGGGCGGCCAGGTGCACACTCGGCTGGCCTCCCAGGACTACCAGAGGGAGACGAATAACAACAAAATCACGGCTCTGCCGCCGGTCTCGACGATCACCGGCTCGCTGGGCCATCTGACCACCGCCGGGGTCATCGGGCGCGCCGGCATCCGACTCCAATCCGCCGGCAATCTCCTGGAGAGCAGCATTGCCGCCGCCAACCTCAACTTCTGGGCGACGGACGACGTGAAGAACGGCAGCCAACAACAGCAGCAACAGCAGCAGCAGCAGTACGGAGGTAGCGGCAGCGAGGTCGACAAGTACTGCTGGACGACGGCCGTCGTCGACGCGGACGGCTTCCAGCAGCAACCCGCCCTCGGGCAGAACACCGACGGCTCGATTTACACCCTGACCGTGCTGGAGAACAGCGAGCCGAGCTCCATGGACGGCCTCGACTGTCGAAGTCCCAACTCGGCCTGCGTCACCGACAACTGGATGCGCTCGAATCAGCTTGGGGACTTCAACATGGAGTCGATCTTCAACATGGAGGACGCCACGGCCATGTCGGATCACATGAGCGTCGCCGTCGGCTCGGTTACCGCGAATAACGTCGTCGTCATTGCCGAGCAGCACCAGCAGCACCAGCAGCATCAACAGGTCGTCGCGGACGTTGGCAACGGCGAGCACTATCCCAGCTCGACTCAAGCCACGACCTTCGTCTCGACCACTCTCAGTCCGGCACAAGAATCCGGCGACAACAACAACGACTGGAAGCTGTCCGACAGAAACAATGCGGAAGAGCAGCAGCAGCAACAGCAACAACAGTCGCAGCCACAGACGGAACCTCAGCAAGAACAAACACAGCAGCAGCAGCAACAAAGCACCGAGTCGGCCGACGAGAGCCTACTGCGAAACGCGCTGCAGGGCAAGATCTACTCGAACAGCGTGGCGGCGGCTTGCGGCTCGCAGGTGTTGCGATTCTTGGCGCCGGTGCGCGCCGAGCCCGGCACCGAGATCATTTCCAACGATCTGATTCTTTCGCAACTGGATCTGTCGAGCGGCGTCGACTGCGCCGCCATGGAGTCTTACTGCAATCTCCAGCCGGTCTGCAACTCGACCGGTGACCAGCAGCAGCAGCAACAGCAGCAGCGTCAACAGCCGACGGTTCAGCAGCTCGTCTACACCTACGATCCGTCCAACGACAACCTGGGCACCATCACGATGGCCGCCGCCGATCTCGTCAGTGCCATCGTCGTCCAAACCCCGCCCCAAGTAACCCAAGATATCTCGAGTGAGTGCTTCTTCCTTCGTCTTTTTTCACGTATAATTAATATATATTTTTCCGCTGTTGTTATAAACGACGATTGTATTTATCTTGCAGCGAACGCAGTGATGGAATGCCAGCCGATAGCGGAGATGGAGCCGAACTTGAGCACCAACAGCAACAGCAGCAACGGCAGCAGCAACAACAGCGGCAAGAGCAAAAAGCCCCCCGGCAAGAAGTACCAACGCAAGCCCAAGGCACCGAAAGGAAAAGCCAACAGCAACGTCGCGGTCGGTGCTGCCGGCGGCCAGAACGCCGCCAACGGGGTCGACGGTGGCAATCCAGCGAGTACAGACAGCAGCGGTGCCGCCGTCGGCTCCAGCAGCACCACCGGCGGCAGCACCACCGGCCGTCGCTCGGTCTCACCTAAAAGCGGTCGCAAGGAGCGATCCCTGCACTACTGCTACATCTGCCAAAAGGGCTTCAAGGACAAGTACAGCGTCAACGTGCACGTGAGGACCCACACCGGCGAGAAGCCATTCAGCTGCAGCCATTGCAGCAAGTGCTTCAGGCAGAAGGCCCATCTGGCGAAGCACTATCAGACCCACAAGAACCCAGAGAAGAACGGCAGCGGTCGCAAGCAGGCCAACAGCCCGAGCTCGACCGTCACGTCGTCCGTCGTGCAACAGCAGCAGCCACAGCCACGACAGCCGCATCAGCAGCCACAGCAGCCACAGCAGCAGCAGCAGCAGCAGGTCCCAACCAGCGACTCCGTCATCTACGAGGCGACCATCAACGAAGTCGCCTCGGCCGAGACAGATGATATCCTCGACAGTTAGATACGTACTCCAAGCGCAGACTATCATCGACTGACCGCGGCTGCAGCGACAAACCCATAGATTAAGAAAATTTTTATATCGCACGTTGCGCGTTTTTTTTTTCTATTGTGGTAAAAAAAAAACGCATCGTGTTAAATGTTATCGTAATTTTTTGCACGGCGATCACTGGTCGACATATACTTTTATGATATAGTTACCAAACTATTCGACGCCAATGTTGATCGTATACAAAATGAATGAATTTTAAAATAATGCCAATGTAAACGATCCCACAAGACATTGGTCTTTTTTATCGTAATTATATTCTCGATCGTTGCGTAATTGTAGATTTATATTTGTTTGTTTATTTATTGAACGTGGAGATAATTTAATAGGTTTATGTAGAAACGCAAGCACGAACAAGCATAATATAAAAAAAAATATGAATTGTTGCGAATTCGATGGGAAAGATCCTCGTGTACATCGGTGACATGCCATTTCTAAACTACGTATTCGGAAAATATGATACGTAACTGTACATCTCGTTGAGATTATGAATGCAGCTGGCCTTGATTCATAAATCAGGTGCTGATATGCATGCGCGTCACATCTTAACGTGAACGAGCGTCGCTCGCGCTCGTGATTTTCAGTACAAAAGTGACAATTTATTTACATTTACTTTTTTTTATACTTACACGCTCAATTATGAATATTGCTCCCATTTGTATGTATAACGTGTATTTATGCCGTAGTTAAATATGCTTTCTCTCTGTCGAAAATAAAAGGACATCCGACTTGCCCAGCAATATGTGTCGCAGTTTTTTCAAAGAGACGAAGCGAGTGATAGCCCATTTTTTTAATTTACATACGCATAGACTGAGATTCTTTCTCTTTCATTACACGTATTTGTAGATTTATTGCATTTTTTTACAAATATTTACTATAGATTATCATACTTAAGCATACAGTTTATTAACTTTTAAAGTAGTAGTATTTGGAAGTGGCCCGAGCCAACGAACGAGGCGTGAAAAGTTAAATGATATATTGCGGGTGTTTTTGCGGATTCAGGAGTATAAAATATAAAAAAACAGGGTGAATAAAAAAGATTAGAGTAAAAGTGGATACCTTAATAGTTAAATGCAATATAAATGAATCGAGATTATGTTTTCCAATGATTCAGTTTGAAATAATGGTTACAAATTAGTAACTGATTGAGAGGATCAACTTGAAAATTATTATAGTTATAGAGTATTGCTAAAATTTATACATGTTGTTCCTATAAATTGACTTGCGCGCTAACAAATATAAAATGAAAACTTGTTTTATAAGCAAAATGGCTGAAATAGCTCAATTTATAATTTTAATGAAAAATGTACAGAATTGTTAATTTTGTTCAAGGTAATACTCAAATTCTTTTTAAGAAAAATACCATAATCGGTTCCGTCGATTCTATACTCATATAACTATTGTATGTGAATGCATAGATATATAACTAGAACTGTGATCTAGGAACATGTACGATAATCGCGGAATAAAGTTAATCGAGATTCGCATAGAAAGTGTATAGTTGTATCGGTTATAATATTATTAAACTTCGGCTACGTGCTGAGAAATTTAAAAATAATTGTCGAGTTTTCAGAGCGATTACAAATTCAATTTAATCATCTTATTTCTTGTAAACCGTTTGTGAAGTTTTAATGAAGAAAAACGTGTCGTTTGGCATATAAAAAATTGCCCATGGAAGACTGAAGAAAACTTGGCAAACTTTTGAGAAAAGTTTATCGTAAGCTTTGTGATTTAAAGAATTATTTATCTTTTCTGAAATTCTATTCCAACTTTATTTTGTATTCGCATTTTTGAAGAAAAATTCAAATGTAAAATATTCAGTTAGTGATAGTAAAAAATAGAATTTTTAATCTATTAATGTGTTTTAAGATAAAAAAAAGTCATATTTGATGTTCACAAAATACTTAGTAAAAATGTGCTCGAATATTTAGTATGCGACTGAACTGAAGGTTTTCATTTTACAAACATGTATTTTTGTATAAAAATTCAATCAATAATGTGATAGTTTCGATTATTGAAAAAAATTCATGAATTTTTGAATTGTACATACTTTTACAGAAATAAAGCGAAAAAAATAAGAATGAAAACAAATGAGAAAAGGAAACTTGATTAAATTAACACATACTTGGTGACCTCTCAAATAATATGATTATTTTATGATCCTAGATACCATGACATTTTATGAGATTAACGTTTGATAGTCTAGAGTAAGAAATGTAAGAACAATTTTATTTTTTATCGCCGAGCAATGAAAATATTTCCAATGCAAACAGTAGACATCGCAATTTTTCCATGAGAACTTCTGGAATTTAGTGTGCGAATATTTTGAATATTTGATTAAGAAAATTAGAAATCAAAACATCTCATGATTGCCGATATCACAGCTTATGTTTTATTATTCCAAAAATGTTATTGAACGTTGCTTTCAAACGATGTACTGAGCACAAGAAATTTCGAGTGCATATTAAAAATTTAGTTCGTAAGATATAATGTTGTTTTGAGATTTTAATTTATTGACTGTAAGTAATAAAATGTATAAGAAAAAATATACTATTTTGCTTTCACAATAAATATATAAATAGATATGATAATTTATATGAAGCATTTACACGAGAGGATGTACCTTTCTAAAACAATGAGTTACCATGGTAACAAACGTACGTAAAAAAATGTTTTGATCAAATCGAAAAATGTACATGAAATTATTATAAAAACTTTTATTCTTAAAAAATAATTTAGAAGCGTAGAGTTAATCATCTTAATACTTAGAGATCTTAGCATTTAAAACGATAATATGTATAGCTAATGGAAGTAGAAATTGTACATTGACAGGATAAATCAACGACTCTTAAATCATATACAATTGAACAAATGAATTAAATCATCCGTAGAATACAATATATTGTAATCGAGTAAAATAATCAAATAAAATCGATGAAAGCGGTTGAATGCACTCATTATAACTAAAATGAAAAGTCCAGCGTATTTCAAATATTATTTTTTTAACCAACGTTGTTTTTGTTACGCCGAGGGCAAACAATTTTTTAAATAATACAAACTAGTGTCGTACCATGCGTGTTTTTTTACATAAATATAGTAAACATGTGGCGTTTTCTGGACTGAATAAATATTTAAATACATCCATAACCGCACTTCTGTATAATAAACGTATCAATTGATTATTTTTCAAAAAATTATGTAAAATTTTTATAATAATGAGTATAGATAATATTTAAAAATAAATTAAAATTTATCAAAATATACTGTAATGACGTTTTTTTATTATCACTTTGTAGAGGATACTCTAATTTTCTTCGAGTACTCGACTGTTACCAAGTTTTGAGACTTTGCTTCAATTAAACCTGCATAATCAAAGATCAAAGAGAATAAACTCGTTTACAACGCTTGTTTCGTATCATCAAGAAAAGAATGAAAACTATTTGCACAATAACTTACGCACAATAACTGAGTGAAAATTTGTGCAAAGATGAAGGAATATTTTTCCTTTCATCAAGAAAAAATCAAATTTTTTTTTGATAAATTTAGGAATTTGGTGGCCCGTTACACGTTTTCCCGACGGTTTATACTTTACTTTTCATGAAACTTTTCAAGAACATTTCGAATTTCATTACAGTAAACGTGAGCATCGCGCCGACTATTTCCTGGAAAGTGAAACGTATCTTTCCGATTTTATGCTAGCGCTCTATGTTGGATGGTAGCATCTCTCGAAACCTCCGCATGCTTTACTGCGTGACATTTTTTCTCCGACATCGTCATTTGTGATCGAAACACGCAATCGTGTACAACTCAAGTTGGCTTAGCCGCCCGTCATTTCGGCTTCATAATCCTCGAAATTAAAATTTAAGCCATCGGTGATCCAATCAACTTCAATTAGCCCTCACAAGAAGTAAGTATACATTTATAACAATTGTTATTATACAACACGATAAATAGATACCAGCATAAATCTTGACGTCTGTCTAATCGCGAATGTGTGCGTAGGTGTGGGTGCACGTGTCAGAGAGACAATTTAAGGAGGTTCGGGAGTCTCAGAGGGGGACGAAGCGGGACGCGAGGGGCTCCTATACTTCCAATGTTAAATTTTCAGCGCTGCCAACATCGAAATAACACGAAATTGTAGGTTTTTTCAATGAGCTGGCACACAATTATAGCTATTATTAATAATTCAATCATTTTGATGAGTTTTTTTCGATGTTTTAGGCTTAAAACAATACTCTATTTGTCATTAGAGTCGAATGAGCACATATTTTTGTTGTTCTAGCTCATTTGTTGGTTAGGGTACGCGCAAATGACCCACGAATTTTTACACATAACAATTTATTTCTCGATAACTAAACGGTCGATGAACTTCTTTTTGCAGTCAAATTATTCCTTATTAAATTTCCTACATGTACGTATTTTTTTCTATTTAGTTTTTGTTTTTTTACATTATGTTTATGCTCATTGAAAGCGAAAATTCATGATTT